GCAAAGGGCAAAATTTGTTCCTTGACCATGATCTCAGTCTAAAAGCAAAACACATAATCTAATTGCCCGCTGGTAAGAAGAACTGTCTCTAAAAATATTCCAGAATTATTCATGGGTTGCCAAATAAGAGTGGATTTTCAATCGTGAATTTTATCGAGAAGTTTGTCGGGCCGCTGTTCTAAATTTGGCTTCCTGCAAAAGCGTTTGAGTAATGTTTAAAAAATGGTTCACTTATCTGTTCTATTCTAGAATAAAGTTGACCCAAAATAGGCAAGGGATATTCTCATGTGACCATTATGTAAGTTTAGGTTGTAAATGTAAAGCCGTATGGTCGGCAACTTCAACTTCAGTTCAATGCTAGCTTAAAGCAAAATGAATATCATAAACGAGAGATTCAGTTGAATCTCTCGTGAAAACCAAACTGATTTGCTAATAAGTCTATTTTTCTAAAATGAAACTTGTTTACTAGTCATCTTCTTTCGCCGCTTTAATCAGTTTTAGGTTATATACTTCCAGGATAGATGCCAAAACAAACATGCTAAGAAGTCGAATGTTTGCGTGATTACTGATAGTCGTAATCGATTTCTGCAGACCACTACAAGCGTTCTGTTTACCGAGTTAAAACTGGTCCATATGCTTTGAGCTGCTTTTTTCTTCCAGTATCATACCTGATTTCGTTGGCTGCAAGCAGCTAACAAAGGAGCTTGTACGCTAACTGTGCAAGTCCACAACAAAGAATGAAAGGAAGATAGCTGGACTCGGTCAATCAGAAGTCCATATCTTCCAATATGGCCCTGGCTTGATTCTACTGGGAAAGCCTATAGAGAGGCTGATGATAGGGATTAATATGTTGAGGACTATTTCATTAACGTGTTTATTACTTGACTTGTAGGGATCGTCAACTTATGTTCGACCGCTTTGGTGTCGATTTCTTCCAACAACGAAATTTAGTTATTCTGCAAAGTTAGAAGGGTGTATTTGGATTTTTCTGAAGAAGCTCAAAATTTTTAGTCTGGAGATTCATAATCAGACCGACCTTTTGTTTGATACGTCCATATTTGCTGATGAAGCATGCTTCCTGACCTCGTCTGAAAGCTACTGAAATCTGGAGACCACTCGGTTGTTGGGTTTGTACCAGCTTTGTTACCTATGCATTTCCGAAATCAATTACCACCATAACAGCTTTTCTTTGTTCTAACTCGAGTGGCTTCCTTCATAGCATCCCTGAGACGACCAGATGCACAACGCCATCTTGAGTGACTTACCCGCTTGCACCGATGTGTTTCAGTATCCGGGGAATTGGAGGACTGTACATATCAGGAATGTCAGATTCCTGAAAGTAACCTCAGAACACCCGGAACCTACTGCTCCACCAAAATCTCTGCAGGAAAGCCGGCAAACATCCAGGCCAGTCAATCATTCAATCAATTAAGCAAAAGCTGATGAGTGTTCTTGCACGCCACAGCGTTCAGGCATTTCACAGAGGCACGATCGATGTTGATTGGTGTTCAGTAACGCCTATCAGACAGCCTGGATCAATGTCAGGAAGTCCCCTTTAAATAGCGTGGGGCCGTTGTAACTTTTGCCATCGCACTCGCTTGTTCGGAATATAGCGGTTGTGTTCGTTTCTGTGAGTCTTTTTTCTCCGGCACTGGGCACTGGATCGGGTTAGCAGCAGATACCACAGGTCGGCGAATCAGCAGGTATAACAGTACACTTGTCCGTCACACCCGAAATCCCGAATAGAGAGCGCTAACGGGAGCTCCTTAAGCAGTGTTTCGTGCTTCAACCATATGTGTAAGTTAACGTATTCGTGTGGGGGTCATCATCATCATCATCATCATCAAAAGCAGCAACATCAATGTTGCCACTGATGCTTCACTGCCGTATAGTGGTCAGCATCTCCGCCTGTCGTGTGGGGTTCCTACGTCCTGATCAGATGTAACGAAAATTGGGCGAAGTGCCAGGATTCTGGCGGAACTTCAGATTAACAGCGACTAAACCCTGGAAACTTCCCCAGAAAGTAGTAATCATATCGAGAAATACACTCCTTTGCGAATCAACTTTGTTTCCATGAGAGACTCAAGTAGAACATAAGGTTGACGGAAACTCGGGGACTGCGCCTACCTGATGAGCCCCAAGAACGGCGAAACCGGTCGAGGGCTGTCGGAGTGCATTCTGCAATCTTGTGAGTAGTTTCCTTTATGAAAATAGTAATCATATCCATGACAGGACCTTGAAAGCACATCCAGTATACACTGATGTCAACTTGTGCAGTGCCATCTGAGACATGCTTCCAAAGTGAATGACACTGACCGATTGTAAAATAAGCAGTGCTGGATTATTGGTAGTTGGGCTGTGTTTATTAGTTGTCGATCAAGGGCCCATTAGTCTCTTTGACTAGCCTGGCTGCTGGATCGAAAGCATTTCGTCTCCATTGTCATGAATGAGTATTATGAATCTTTAGGGGGAATAACAAGTATACTAGAAGATATCATCAGGAAACTGTTGTGCTTGGTGCACTGGCTGTGTGCCACCAATCAGCTGTCAAATCCAAACGTGTCTGGATTTCGACGTGTTTAAATTGGGAGACAGAGGTTCATCGCAGCACACGGCGTCAAGGATTGAATCACATACTGAATATCTGTGGTGATAATAATAAAAATAATAGTTGGTGTCTTTTTATGGGGATGTGAAGCACGATCAAGACTCAAAGCTGATGTTTGTGTATCAGTCTGCTCCTGTTGAATCGACTATTCCTATATAGGTGACTTTGTAGTCCGGCGATAAGCCATTGGCATCTCCTGGGCTTCTGAGAATATCAGGCCAGGAATTCGGTTCTGGGTAGAGTTGGATTTAATCATAGAATACTGTAACGTTTCCATTTCCCTAGTATGCGGTTATCTATCCGTTCTTTCCGCTTTTTATGGGTGCTCTGGCGGTAGCGTCAGCGCCAAATTTAGACAGGTCGATCAACTCAAGTCAAGGTCCTGATAAAGCACAAGCACAAGGTACACACGAGATAGAAAAAAATCGCTGCATGACATATGCAGAAGCTGCTTTTAAACGTGACGGATCGTTCCATGTAATTTTGGAACTGCTGTGCCTTGCTGAAGAGTCATGCAACTCTGTATCGGTCCATGACTTCCTCCTCCACCCACCACGGTATATCAACAAGCTCGGTAGCCTCATACACCCCTTTATGGAGACAAAGAAAGAGTATTACAACTGTATTCATATGATCATCACAGCATGCTCCATTAGGTCAGGACAGAAGCTCGTGAGGGGGCGGGAAGCGTCGAGTCAAAAATGCTCAATCGAGAGTGGATGATATTCTGACCAATAAGGGCATGCCTTCGTTTGATCCATAGCCCGCACGTAACGCATCCGTCCAGTTGACGTGACGTTCGGTTATTAGGGGTGGCTGGCGTCCGGAACACACTACTTGGTGAGCCTTAAAAAGGTCAAAACCTGTCGTGGACTGTCAGAGAATTTTCTACAACCCTATGAGTTGTGTATTAGAGCTGAAATACAATGTGATAGGTCAACATCCACTCACGTTCTTAAATACTGCCGTGATGTGCGGTGGTGTGCACAATGGTACACCGAGAATTATTGCATAGGATTTCTCTTTCTTGATTTTTGAAATAAATGTCAAAAGTAATTTAATTTTGTGCAAACTACGAGTCGCAATCATTTGCATTTATCTTGAATACAAATATGGACAACTCGCAGGGATTCGTGAAGTTCAGATGTGTGTGATAAATTTGTAAACTGTTGCAATCAAAAGCTCAGAATCACAGGATTTGACCAACGCCAATGCTCGATGTTTTCAGGACATTGAGCCAAATGTAACCAACAAGCATGACTTCGGTCAAAGCTAGGACATCGTAGGAGAAGCTGTCGTCTGACCTACAAAATTTAAGACACGGTTTCCATGCAAAATAGTGAAAAATTATATATTGAGAAATGTGATTCACAGAATGTGCGACTTGTTAAAGAAGTTAGTGCACGGGATTTGCATACCGAATACGAACTTCTGGTCACTGGTTAAAATACCATACCAGGCCTCCACAAAGGGGCGTAGAAATTAACTGATCCTGCTCGGGATATCAGGGCCTTACTTTCCTATATCTCAATCAGTGGCCTTGAAAGTTTGCTCTCGAACTGCAATCCCCATATTCCAAACTAATATTGACCTGAAGGTTTACACCCAATTAGTTTTATCAATATTTGTTCCGCATCAAGATAACGAGCACAAACGAGAGATCGGGGTAATTAGAATTACGCGTCGTCACGTGCTCCGCAAACTGTCTGGCCATGAGCGGACTCAACCAACAATAATCAATAAAGCAGACTAAAAAGTGATCAGGGAGCTCTAAAACTGTGTAGATTTGTTAAACAGGAGAAATTGCCAACAGAACTGATGAAAGGCTTAAGTTTGAACTGAATATTCTGAAACAAAAATCGATCAACACTCAATTCTGAATTTCCATCATGAAAATCTACTTTAACAGATCGAATTACCTGTCTGTTTCAAGTTCATACACCAAAATCACTCACAATGTTTAACAAAGTGTGTCACATAGTAAAGTAAGTTTTAAACGGTCGTATTTTACAAGAGTATGTGGTCAAGAGTATGTGGTATGTAAACTGACGGTGAAAAGGAATGGACGGCAACCTATGAATCACAATAAAATACGGCTTAGGGAACAATCGTTTTCTTTTCTACTTTGTATAGAATAAGTCAAGAGCCAAAAGTTTTCGAAATCAGCTGATCGAGGAAGTTGTGAAACATTTGGAAGGCGAAATTCTCCACTGTTGATTATCTGGATACAGCTTTAAGCATATCATGTGATGCGTAGGCTGATTCTTACTCGGCTACCTCCAAGAAAAAGAATAATCGATAAAAGCATGATAATTCGGTTTCGAACATATTTGGAAGCACGCATATTCAGAATTCGATGTAGCCTTATCATTTATAATGCTTTTGTTTGCAGATACTATCATAAATCTCCCAAGTAAATTTGTTCTCATAACTTCCAATGCAAACATGGTCATAGAACTACTACTTGCTGACAACGGTGAGTATCTCATATAATCAATGAAACATCCTTTACTTTCAGTGCTTGTTCGACCGTCTGCTATAAGTATTATTTATAGGGCTGCGCCTTTCGAGTTTTGGCATGGTTTGATCACCATTATTCCAGTTCTACACATCCTACGGGGCAAACCAGGACAGAAAACCATGGTAGTTGGCTTGTTCGCTGAGCTGGGTAATTTGATTGCAAACGTTTCATCACAGTGCGTTGCTGAGGCGTGTAGTGGTGCGTAGCGATGGGTTGGTTTGCGGGGACGTATTGTTAGGTCATAGTTGTTGACGGTTTGTTCCACGTTAATTGAAATGCAGTCCGATTTTACAAGGTGCGAAAGCCAGCATGCTCGAAGAATATGATTTGTAGTGTGGAACTTGAGGTCATCAGACTAGACAACGCCATCGTTAGTTATGATCGTGTTCAGTAATTTTTATCCTTTCGTTAGTCGCGCGATGGCGAAACCCGGTAACGAAGGATGCAGAATAATCATAATAGTCTAAATCTCTTTGCTGGACCATCTGCAGAGTGAGTTCTTGCAAGTTATCCAACAATGTTTAAAAGTTTCATTCAAACCTAGTACATCCATGACACCGAAGAAACTCTGACGTGTTACTGAAGTTGTTGGAGTTATTGAGTGGAAACGGATTTTATGTTGACTTTTTTTTACAACCGTTCAGCTTTATTCCTCGGCAGCTATGTGCCGCCTGCGTACGAATTGTTATGAAGTACCATCATCTCCCAGGGTTCCTGCCGTTCATTATTATTTTTGCATATTCTATCGGCTATGTAAACCAGACACTGTAGGAGGTTTCTTTTGTATTGCATGTCCAAAAGGCTCTGGAAATTAAAATGCTGACCAGACTTGTACAGTTTTGGCTCACCTTTCGTTGGAACGAATCGTCTGGACGCTTAGTCAATGCCAAATAAGGAAGTGTTAAATGACCGCCGGACCGCTCTTGCCTGGTGGAAGACCATGTAATGAGGGGATTGTTAAAAAAATTCTAACAGTAAAGTGCGGGTTCAAGATTCTTGCATGTTTCAGTTATCTATGTTGGTCGAATGATACGACGCTTATTTCAGGGACTCGATAAACACTTACCGGTTTGCCAAAAATCGGGAGCGATCTCCCTAGTCACCTGATTAATACGGACCACCGGATCAATCCGGTTTTGTAGCTTCTATGATCTATCGAGTACCAAAGAGTACCAATAGATTTTGCGAATAGCCAAGGTGATCACCACGCGCACATGTGGATCCCTGTTTGCTAGCAAAAGCGATAGCGTTGTTCTTTTTATACCAACAACTTACCAGTAATGCACAATATTTCGGTCTCCTTTTCTATTTTATCGCTGCAGCTGCTAGAGGATGAAGAAGGCTTATTCACAAACTTGTGTTCCTTCACTAGAATGGAATTTTCATCAAAATGGCGATATGGAATATGCCTGGCGAAAACCTTGGGGGATAAAAATTGTCATGAGATTTAGGTCCTTCATAGTACTCCAAAAAACACCATAAAGCATGGTTTTGTCATTAGTGGAAAGATCGTGCGCGAAGACAAAACATTCTGGTTACCATTTTCAACACCGTTTTGCCAAACTCTGAAAAACTACTAAATTGTTGAGACTATTCGGTACATTACCACATCTACACGTTTTGCAGCTCAGTTTCAACGGTAATGCCGACAAAACTGTTGGAAATATCAAATAATATATTTGATGGAGTCTTGGGAACGTGATTCTCCACAACAGCTGCGGGTATATACGCAGACACGCATGTTCAGTAAATCCTATCTCGGTATATTCTCAGCAAAACTGAATCAGTGATGGCATGTATATTTCATAAAAAGAATACACAGGAAAAACTACCCGAACTTGTCTGTCATTGGTGGAAAAAATACCGAATACCGTAAACAAAACTGCGTTTTGAGGACATAACTTGGTTCACTGATCCTATTCCGCATATAGCCTGGCTGACAAGAAATCTAGTTGGCCAGGTTGTGTCACATCATACGCGAACAAAATTATAGGCACGTAGAAAAGAAAATCACAAAGCAGAATTTGTTTGTCTTGGAAAATTACGATAATTTAGCTTTATGATCACTTTTTTTAACTACAGCAATCCAATCGCTTGGCAAAAAACATTCTTGAAACGCCAAAGGTTTACATATATATGGAACTAGAAATAGTTTCGGTTCTTGATACAACCTTCGTTTCCAATTTGATGGGACGGAAGCCCCATCCGGGAAAGGCAGGGGGATTACAGTTAAACTTTGAAAAATTAATAAAGGGCACGCAAGTATATGTAAATTTTCAAGTAGAGTTGAAGAACAATTGAAGTGTCGCTTGGAACTTCCTTGGTTCATCAAAAGCTGTTTCAGCACCCTGACTTGTAGGATCACCGTACTTCTTGATGCTACGAGATGCTCTAAATAGGTACATAATGATAACTAACAGAACGTTATAAAGGAATCTCCGTACCAGCAGATGGAATAGTAAAATGAACGATTTACCTCAGAGCGCTTTGAAGGGAGATGGGTTTGGACTTCTTTGCAGGGTTATGATGTTTTAAGTTAGCCAGTGGCGAAAACCAATAAATCGTCAGTATTTTCGTAATTCATGATCGGACAAAGGTCACCATTTCAACTCAAGGATGAAGTGAAGACAAAAGTGATGCTTGCACATCACCATAAGAAGACTAGGGTTTTCTAGCTTTTGCTTATTGAATGTAACAGGATTAATAATCCGCTATTCAACTAGCTAAACAAGCAAAACATATCTCACAATGGGACCGATGTGGAAGGATGTGCTTTCCTTCAGGGAAGGGTGTCGAAGAAGATTCAAGAAAAGCCAATTCACCTATGGAAATATCTTCACCAAGAAATAAATAAATGGTGAAATCATGAAAAACCACCAGGCCAATCAAACTGCGACTTGTGCAGCAAGCCAACTGAGTGGGGATAACAAGATGGACTAAAGACTTTCTTAAGGAGATCTTTCTTCTTCGAGGAAGGTTCAATAGTGTTTTTAGTACACTATCACTCACCTGGCAGTTCAGACAGACGAGAAACTATCCCACTGGGGTGCGAATAAACAGTCAACAAGCAAGCGTATCATATACTGTCAAGATATTTAGAGCGCATCAAAACGAGGAAGATCAGTTTGGCCAAAACGCTTTGAGAGTATACTGTAAATAGACAAAGATCCTGCATGTATGGTATTCAGATACGAACAGTAAGTGTTTGTTCCATAAATCTGATGCATGATTCCGGCTGTGACCCTTTGGTCACGAGTCCGCCGAATTGTTGGTGTAGCGGGCGGAACTTCAGGTGTGATCCGTGGAGTAAACAGCTGTTTCAGACAAATATCCACCTACTGGAAATTGACCGAAATGTTTCATCTGATCACGTGCTGATGCAGAACATAATAAACGGGAGCTACAGCTGAGACTGCAGTTAAAACCAATTTGTTACGCAAATGAGTGTATTTGTCGAGGTTAAATCGAGAGGAGCACTTCAGATCAACTTCGCCGTCTGCGAAACCGGTCAACGGACGTGTGGCCCAAAGGTTAAACGGACGGGTAAAGATTCTGATCTCTCTACACCCACTTGATGGAAAATTTGTCGCTGCGGTCTTTGACGTGTTAAGGAGTTGAACAGAATGCCATAAAGTATGCTGTATTTCATCCGTGGGTTGATCATTTTGTTGGAGACGGAGCAGTTGATTCATACCTAGTTTTCTACATCGACTAAAAAGAAATGGCTGAATAACACTGATTCCCCTGATAATAGCTGCAAACATATGTAACTCGACCCCGAAATATCACACGGAACCCCTTAGGTAGTTGATATGACGTACCGATGTAGTCCTCTCAGAAAAACAAAAAAATACGCAACACATATGGACAATTTATCTCATTATTGCGAGATGATTTAGGTTTTCTACACGGTTTCTCAACGGTTTTCCACCGTCGAGGCTCGGACGATAAATGGGTGTCGGCTGATTCGGTAACGCAGATTCCCCCCGGTCGACCAATTCATGAAAAATTTCAAATCGGTATATTCCTATCAGGAACACAGTCATTAAGCTTTGGGTAAGAAACTTCAAATTTACATGCTTAGCTCGCTCCGAGGGAGTTTCTTTCCCGCTTTTCTTAACAGTTTGTGCACTTGTTATGAGCACGGAATTACACTGTCACGTTTGGTCCACGATGTCGAAAATATCAACCAATGTGAACAGATTAACTGGCACAATACTTGGTTGCTCACACCATAGATGATCCAAAATGTCACCGCAACTCTTATAAATGTGTTGATAGAAATGGATTAGCGCGGGCAGTATCTGACTAAGCAAGGCCTAATTACAAGATGAGCCGTCATTTTCGACGATTGAATAGCTTATGGGCAACGATTCATCAGCTGGCCATCTGTAGTTCTGTGTAACTCATTGGAAAAAATAGGAAAAGCATGTACATAACGGAAGACAAAGTAAAGTTGGACTTACGTTGCTGAGGAAGAATGTACTTATCGTATGACAGAATCTGCGCCTCTGTCCCAGTATGTGATTATGGTGGTATAGAGGTGATAATGAATGAGAACACCACAAATGCCGTAAAGTGACATACTGAATTGTTGTACCAGATTGCCTAAACATGTTCTTGCTAACATAATGCCCTAGTTTCCATTCTATTCAAATCATTGCCATGGGCATTCATTAATAGGTTTTCAGCTTTCTATACACTGTCATATGAATTTTCATGAAAATAGTACTATGGGTAGCGCCTTTCGGTGCACAACTACCCGAAGAAACCACCAGGGCTGAGATACTGCTAGACCGTCTGAGCTTAGGAAGGAGCAGCCAAGATGCTGGCGTTGGGTTCAAACCGCAGACACTCCGGTCAGTAAGTTCGCGCCCCAGTTACTGAGTTATATCGAGCTCATCATAGTGTCAGTTATCGATTCATTATAACTTGCAACGCCGGACACAGTCTAA